CTTTCCCTAGAGATACAAAGTCATGAGGTCCATGAGCTGATTCTCAAGTCACTTCAAGCTACAGATTTACCAAGTGCCCCCCCCACCCCCACCCCGTGCACCACGCCCACCCAATCCCTAACTCGCTGCCCTTGAGTTAATTCGGACGCACAGTGACCCTGGAGGACAAGCTAGAACTTCCCATGTGGGTTTCAGAGACTGTAACCCTGTACTGACCCAGAAAGTCTCATCTCCCTCCAGCAGCGACTGGTGGTTTCAGCCACTAACCTTATGATTAGAAGCCGGGCACGTGACCCACCACGCCACCAGAGCTCAGAGCCAAAGCCTGGCTGTGAGCCACTTGACCTTCTTCAGCTTTTGCTGTATCAGCAGAAGGCTTTTGAGGCAAATTTCTATATCCGTTTGCATACATGAAGACATGCAGTGATGAAAAGCAGCCACGAAACCTGAGCTTCCTTCTTGCCCACACTCGGTTACAAGCCCTCATAATCATTCGGTAGTGATTCAGGGCGGTGCACATGTCATGTCAGCATGAGTGAAGCAGAGGGAACGGAATGAGGTGAGATGGGTCCAGACTGCCACCACTTCTCTCGGGAGATGTTATGTAACATTTGTAGTCACATCGCATTGACCAGAGTGAGTCTCGGCCTGTGTCTCAGCCTGATTTCTCAAGGCAAGTCAGGGAGTGGCATTGAAGAGAGTGACCAGAAGGAGACCCCCCCAGAATGAACTCGTCTGCAGGAGGAGTCCCTGCACAGGTACATTGCCAGCCTGCTAGAAACTCCACCAAGAATGACAGTAGAGGCTTCTTTACGTGACACGCGTTCCTTCTCAGCCTACTGGAAAACACAGCCGCCAGAAGAGCCTTTCATTGGTCTTGAACTCCTTCCCCAACAGGCACCCCTTCAGAGATCCTGCAGGAGGCTCGGTTGCCTCTGATTCCAAACAATGTATGTCGGTTACTGTATGGAAACCCATATACTATTCAGCGTGACATGCTGTGTGCTGGGAACCCTATCGGTGTGAAGACCGTTTGCGAGGTGAGCTCCATATTGGATGTGGGTGCAGGAGGACATAGATTCTGTAAAAGCGGGAGGTTGAAGCAAGTGATTTTCTGATGTTTGGGCTGATTTGAGCATGAGAACATTTCACCTGGCATATGTGGCCAAGATCACAGGGGTACCAGAGGCCTTAACCCTAAAGGTACACATTTTCATGTGATCAGGCCCACCAGGACACCACAGGTGTGGAGGGCATGCAGACAAGGCAGAGATCCCACTCAGGGTTCCCAGGACCCTGTAGAGCCCAGTGGGGGCCGCACCATGACAGGACTCCACATCTGTCTACCATCCGTTGCCCGCTTGCTGTTTGTTGACCCCTGTGGACACAGAGATCTGCAGTTGTGAATATGCTTGTCCTCCTAGAGCCTCCTCCATGGTTCACTCTTGCCCTGAACTTGACAGCAGTAGACGCTGTATTCCTGCAAACAGGAGCTCCCCGCCATAGCTCTGGAGCCAAAGTTGCAGCCTATGAGTTGGGGCTGTGTGGGGGGGAGGGGTAACTATCCTACACACACACACACACACACACACACACACGCCCCACCCTATGAACTCTTCAATAGGCAGGTGCAGGAGGTAGGCAGGCTCAATGCTTTAAGGTCACAGAAAACTCTTCTTTTTTCCCAGGGTGACTCTGGAGGCCCACTCGTCTGTGAAATCAACCAAGTTTGGCAGCAAATTGGAATAACCAGCTGGGGCCGTGGTTGTTTACTGCCTTTGTTTCCTGGAGTTTTTGCCAATGTCTCTTATTTCTTTCCATGGATCGAATCTGAGATTAGAAAAGCACCCCTGCCTCTTCAGCCGGAGCCGGACTTGTGCGCTCCTCACAGAGCCGGCTGCTGTGTGCCCATCATCACACTGGCCTACCTGTCGCTCTCCTAAAGGGCTCGTCCAGCCACTGGGGGCCTTCCTCACTGCCACTATCCCGGTGGCCACACGGCTTCAACTTACTCAAGCTGCCTTGCACTTTCTGCCAGTCTGTCTACTCAGGGAGGACGGAGGCTTGGATGCTGAACTGGGAAAGGCATCGAGCACACAAAGAGTGTGAGCTCAGGGGCTGCAGCTAGGAAGGCAGAGGCCTGGACTCACCAGCATGAAGTGTGGGGTGCCTCGGGGTGAGGCACAGGGAAGCAAAAGACTTTAGCTGAGTGCTTCATGAATGTATCAGAGATCATCACAAGATCATTAAATATTTACAAAGTATGAGTCCCAGAATGCCTGAATTTGCCTTTCTACTTGGGAGCTAAAATGTCCTTATATACCCAGCAAGTATGTCTATGAACACGGCCATCCGGACCACTGAAAAAGCAGATAATGAGGGCAGAAAAGGGAAGAGGACCCCGTGGGCCTTAAGACTTACAGCAGCCACAGAGATAAGTAATAATCTAGCTGCTCCCCATAGACCAAGGAAGGCACCAGGCACGTGCTTCTTCTTTCAATTGAAAGTGTGTAAGAGGTACACGTCAAACTGGTTATATTAAACCCAGTGTATGTATTCCATATTATCAGAGTCAGGCCAGAGTTCTAAATACTTAAACTTAAAAAGACGTGTTTTCTAAATATCTTTTAGCAAACTAAAAAGATAATAGAATTTAATAGCCAAATACTTGAAAAGACTAAAACTAATCATTAAAAATCTAGTTTTTGAAAAGAAGTTTATAAGTAGAAATATTATTGTCTAAATCAAATTATAAAATGACAATAAAATACACAAAATAGCTGACAAGGGGAAGATATGTATTGAAACTGAAAGGATTTAGGAAATCCTAAGATATAGTTAGACTACACAAATATAGTTAAAATGAATAGTACTACTGTCTAGGAAAAATAAAATTTATCCAGACTAACCCCAATAGCAACAAACAACTTCCCTTGGGTTCATTCTGCCCCATTGTTACCCAATAAGACAGCAGAAAGACTCCCTAAAGTTTTTGGGTCTGTAACTGGTGGGGGTGGGTATGAAAATTTCACTTTCTCACACAGAGTGGTGAGTGGGTTTCAACCTTTTGGTTAACAGTCTAACACATAACCCACTAGGCCACCATTTAGATATAAAATTCACTCATTCCCTGCCATTAGGTTGATTTTGGCTTATAGTGACCTTATAGGACAGAGTAGGACCACCCCTGTGGGTTTCCAAGACTGTAAATCATTACAGGAGTAGAAAGCTTCAGTCTTTCTCCTGCAGAAAGACTGATTTCAGACTGTTGACCTTGTGGCTAACAGCGCAACATGTAACCCGCTACATTGGCAAGACTCCTTCACGATCAGATACCGAAGGTTTGAATTGCACAGGAAATATAGAGCAACCGAAGGAAGAGCTTTCCCATCGCAGTAAGAGCCCTTGGCTGAAATAGTTTCCTTGTGAGTTATATCAAATCTTCAAAATCTTCCCAAGGCTACCTAGACTGTTCCAAAGCATTGACAAGTTTTCCCTAGGACACAAGTATATGTTGTTTTGTTGTTGTTGTTGTTGTTGTTAGGTGCCATCAAGTCAGCTCCAGCCCATAGCAATCCTATGCACGATGGAACAAAACACTACATTGTCCTTTGCCATCGTCGCCAGTGTCTCTACACCTGAGCCCATTGTTGAAGTCGCTGTGTCGATCCATCTTGGCGAGGGCCTTTCTCTTGCCATCCTTGCCTCTAATGAGCACGCTGGCCTTACTTCTTACGATATAGGCCAGGTTTTCCTTTTAGCAGTCCATGGTATTTCCAGTATTCTTCTCCAGCACCACAATTAATGCATCTCTCCTACAGTCCTCCTCATCCAACTTTCATACGCACATGATACAATAGAGAATACCACGGCTTGGGTCAAGCACATCTTAGTCTTCAAAGTAACATCCTTGCTTTAAGGAGGCCTTCTGCAGCAGATTTACCCAGTGCAATGCGCATTTGGTCTCTTGCCTGCTGCTTCCATGAGCATTGATTGTGAAACCAACCAAAACAAAATTCTGGACAACTGCAACTTTTTCTCCATGTAACATGATGTTGCCGATTGATCCAGTTGTGAGGATTTGGGTCTTCCTTACATTGAGTTGTCATCCATACTGAAGACTACAATCCTTGATCTTCATGCACAAGTGCTGCAAGTCCTCGCCTTCAGTAAGCAAGATTGTGCCCTATTAATAAGCCTTCCTGCAATCCTAACGCTGAGCTTTTGTCCATATAATCTGGTTTCTTGGATAATCTACTCAGCATACAAATTGAATAAGTATGGTGGAAGGATACAACCTTGATGAACACCTTTCCTAATTTTAAATCATGTAGTATTTCCACTTGGTACCTGTACAGGTTGGTACATTGAAGTGTTCTGGATTAACCATTCTCCATATAAGATGTTCTGTTGTCATCCCACATAGCCCCACATGTTTGACCATTAGTGTTCAATGTGTCAAGTCTATTCTTGAGTCTCTGAATCCAGGTAATAAATGCTCAAGGTGGTATTTTCACTCATGGACTTGTTTTAATTTTCTTCAACTTCAACCTGAATTTACCTACAAGCAATTGATGATCTCTTCTACAGTCAGCCCCAGCCTTGTTTTGGCTGATGATATTGAGATTCCCCATAGTCTCTTCCTGCTAACATAGCCTACTTGATTTCTGTATATGCTGTCTAGTGAAGTGCACATGTCTAGTCCCATGTGTCTTTTGGAAAGCCTGAGCCTGCTCCCATCCTGGTGTTCATCCCTACAGCAGTGGGCTCATACAGTATCTGTCCGTTTGTGATTGACAGCTCAGCATAGTGGCTTCCAGAGCCCCCCAGGCCATGAAGTTTTCCATGATTTCATCACTGTTTTTTCGGGATATATAGTATTCCATTGTGTGTATACCAAAGGTTCTTTAATCTTCTATTGATGGGAACTTGGACTATTTCTAACTTCTTGCTGTTGTGAACTGTGCTGCAATGAGCATGGGAGTGTATATGGCTCATTTCTTTGGGATTGTGCTCAGCAATGGTATTTCAATTGCCAGCTGCTTTAGGAATCGCCATATTGCTTCCCACTCCTTTTGTTTTCTAACTACAGGTCTCTTCATATTTCATTTACAATTTCTGACTTCTTGAGTCACCCTTTAAGTCTTTTCTTTGGTTCTTTTACTTTATCATGAGTCCAATGGCAGTGGACACATTTTTCAGGGCTTGCACTGTTCTCCACATGGTGCCAACAGGAAAGGGGGGTTCCCAGGATCTTCCTTATGAAGAGGTCATGCCCACAAGGAAGCACCATCAGGCTGTGACCTGATTGACAGGCTAGACTCCACCCCCACAGTTCAAGTTGACATGAATTACATAACTTCCACACCCTCTGTCCATAATTGAGGGATGGGAGGAAAGATGAGTATAGAAGATCAAAGGGATAAATCTGACTTGAACAGTTAAAACTTTGTCGGTTGATCCCCCATCTGATGCATGTTGGACCTGACCTGGTTTTCAACATTTTCTGTCATTTTGTTTTGTTTTCGTTTGTTCACATTAGGATTTACCTCAGAGATGCTATGTCATGGGGTCACCCTCTTGAAGTTGTGTTACACGGTTTTTTTGTTTTTCGGTATATGAAACCCAGGATTGATGAACCTAGAGGGACAACAAGTAGAATACGGTTTTTTGTTTGTTTCTTTGTTTGTTTGTTTGTTTTGGGGGGGGGTACATTAGGGGCAGGGGGATAAAAGAGAGATGATCTCAAGGAGTCCAGGAAGAAACAGGATGTTTGGAAACTGATTGTGGTAGCAATTGTACAATACTGCTTGATGTGATTGAACTATGGAATCATATGATGAATGTATTAACTCCCAATTAATAATACATTTTTAAAAGAAATAAAAGCTGTGACATGAACAATAATAAAAAATACGTTGCAGAACAACAACAAAAGAAATTAGAGCCCAAAATGCTAACTGAAAACAAAAAAGCAGACTGACACTAGCTCAAAGTGACGACTCTCTTATTAAATCACAAGAGAAATGACTAACTCTGATGGTCAGGACCAGGAAGAAAATAAGGACAGTGGTCCTGAAGACCCATAAATAGAGTATGGGAATGTCAACAGAAGAGATAAAGCAATTGATAAGAATCAGAATACTTACAAACAGGAAATTAAAAAAACCCCAAAGATGAAAATAATAGAGAGACATGATTTGAACAGTCATTCAGTCTTGGCAGGAAAGTCCACAGCAACCTCGTATTGATGAATGTGTTGATCTTAGTAAGTCTGATGTGCTTCCCCTGCGGTTTTTAAGCATGAGCCATAATTTTATTAACACAGTTAATGCTTTTCAAAATCATGATCATAAAATGTACAGAGAAGCAGACAGAGTAAACATTACAAAGCTTCGCTTTTGTTTTACATTGAGTTGCAATCCACGCTGAAGGCTGCCATCTTTGTCTTCCTCAGCAAGTGCTGCTTCAAGTCCCCCTCACTTTAAGCAAGCAAGGTTGTGTCATCGGCACGTCCCAGGTTGTTAGCAAGCCTCCCTCCAACCCTGATATTGCATTCTTCGTCATACAATCCAGCTTCTCTAATTATTTGCTCAGCATTAGGTGAAGTTAATCAACCACAACAGGACAAATATTATTTGATACCACTTCTGTAAGGGTAAAAACCAAGACAAAAGGAACAGCTTTAAAGGCTACCAAGGTGGGTAGGGCAAGGAAGGGAAGATGAAGCAACAGACTAGACAGGTACTGACGTGAGGGAAAGCGAGGATGGAGGACCACAAGAGAAAGAAGAGAAACGGAGGAGGTGAGGCCAAAGTATGAACTATTTTTTTAACAAGATGGAATTGATTTAATATGTCTCACACTTGGTCTTCTAGAAGAGAAAAACCAGTGAAATATATATAGAGGTATAGATCAAGAAATTTATCTCAAGGGAACGGCT